ACGACGACATCGTTTTTTGAGGTAAGTTATGGGCTAGGAGAGGGAGTTACGTAAGCAAATTTTGCCGTAACTCGCGAATCTCCAGCTTATAAAAGGTCAGCTCGGGAAAAGGGCAAAGGATCCGAAATTTTGAAGTTCTATAGGAAGAAAGAGAACCCTAGAGAGAGACTGACGAAGGACAAGCCTGGGCAAGGATTGTAGCAATCTGAAGACCTCGGAGCTCGATTCCTCATCCTTGGAGTACCGATTAGCCGCCAGGAGCAGATTTTCATTGTCCACATGATGATTTCTCCTCCTAGCATGATGTTTCCACTTCTCTCCATGGAGTAAACTCCCCTTTCATCTGGGTATAAAGAACTTAGTTTTGTATGTTAGAAATGGTTGTATGATTTCTATCTCGCTTGTGCGTGCTTTATCTCACCAGGTGCACGAGTCTGTCATGTATCCTTCCGTGTCGCCTATTTTGCAGAGTTCTCCCCTCATTCCTTTGCCGCCACTCTCGTCCGCTCCGTTACCAAAAGAAAAACTCAAGGAGTTGTAGCGGCCAAAGCTGCAAGCAGCCGATCCTTCTAAAAAGAAAGCTGGAGAGTGGAGACCACTATGAGCTGGTCCCGGCCCCTGAGCCACAACCACCCTGGCCATCCGAGTATTCACTCGCTTGCATCCTGCCGGATGGCCAGGTCGAATTGACATGTGCCGGTGGCCACACCCGCCGTGTGCATGGCCACCACTTGAAGTTTTACCTCAAGAGCGATGTGGATCCGCTCTTGGAGGCGCCTGCTCTGCCTCCGTTCTGAGCATCCGCCATTTGCATCCAACTAAAAGACGGTAAAGAAGCGCTTGTGGGTAGGCAACCCCGCCTCGTCTTGCATTTTCTTCCTTTCTTTTTTGTTTTTGTCATTTATTTGTGTGTGTCGTACGTCGATCTGGGTAATTTTTGTGTTTTGTTATTCTTTTCTTTTGTTTGAAGCCATGAGGCTGACAACTGTTATCCTAACTCTTACCCAGTGTGAGAGGTTGTGTTTTTTCTTACCTTGCTTCTCAGGATTTGGTCCACCTTTCAGTCTGCTCCTTATGACTGGTCCCATTTCCAGTCCTACTGTAGTCCGTTTTCCCGGTAACATCGTTCCCCTTATCCTTCTCTTTTCACCATTGAGGGCAATGTCGAACTTAAGTGTGGGGGTGTTTATCTTTGACAGTATAGATCTGTTTGTGTGCTTGGAGCCTAGTCCATTGTCCAAATTTTGATTTAAAGCAGTTAAAATCGGGATTTTACCTAAAATAAAAAATTGGGATAAAATCGGAATCATAAAATCGAATCGTAGAATCGTAGGATTTTAAGTACCATATAGAAATTAACATATGATAATATTAATAAGGTAAATAATTAATAATACAAAGACTTATAACATTAAAAGTGATAATTTTCAATATTAATGTCCAAAATCATCATTTTAATTGTTATTTAATGCGTAACTCAAAATGATTTATGAGAAAAGGTAGCTCATGGGGTTCGGCTCTTGTTTTTCATGTTGTGTCTTGGTAGTTTAACTCAAAGTAGTATTTCGACATCGTCTACTAAGCATGATTTAAAACTAAGAATAACTGAAATCCAAAATAAAATAATTAATATCATAGGTTTGGTACAAATATATTCATTAATCAAGTAATTTGTTAATAATGATGTTAATTCTTACGCACTTACAATATTCTGACAATTGTTTTACCGATGAGTTAAACAAGGAGAAGGGAAAGGGGTTGACAACCCTAATAATTTTTTTTTCCTTTTCAAATGTTCTTTTAATAGAAAAAATATATGAGAGGATCCCCGTCATTGCCCTTTCCACCGAAACAGTTCTGCTTCTTTTGAATTGGCTCAAGCTCCCTATTTTGTTCACGTAGGATCAAAATCCCAATTTTGGTACGATTTTATGATTTTAATCCCGATTTTGAACGATTTTAAGGTCCATCGATTTTATAGTAAAATCAGGATCGAAATCCCTAAGTAAAATCCTAAAATCCTATGATTTTACGATCAAAATCTCGATTTTGACTGCATTGCTTGTGGCCATGTGCAACCTAGGGAGGTAGTTGTAGCACTATGGAGGATGTCGAAGTATAAGATCTATCCTATCTTTCTCTTTGTTGTGCCGGTTGATTGTGTGAACTAGTGGATTTAGAAATTTGAGTCATGCCGGTTGATTGCATGTTGCTGTAAAAGTCTGGAGAGTTGCATTGGTTTGAGTCAGGTTTGCTTGGGGACAAGCAAACGGTTAAGTGTGGGGAAATCATGATAACTCCATATTTGAACATGTTTTTCACTTCATTTCTTGATCGTTTGAGCTTGCTTTTTCGCTCTGGTGGCCTATTTTACGCTAGGTTGTGTTGGTTGATGATGTTTCAGGTCCTAGCACGTGAATGTGTGCGAACGAGCGAGTTTTGGGACGTTTGGAGCGAACGGGCAGAGAGCTGGAAGAAGTTACGACCCAGACTTGGAAGTTACGGTCAAGACCGTAACTTTCCCCAAGAGCCTGTAACTTCTCAGAGGAAAAGTCCAAGGTTCTAGGAGCTTCTTTGGAGTTACAGCAAGACCTGAGAAGTTACAGTCTGGACTGTAACTCGCCCTTAGCACCCGTAACTTTTGGGAAGCGATGACACAAGGTTCCAGGAGAATTCTTGGAGTTACGGTCTCCCCTCTCAAGTTAGGGTTTCAACCGTCACTCCTCTAAAGGAGCCGTAACTCTTGGTTTACGGGGCATAGCGATAACATCGTTTTTTGAGGTAAGTTATGGGCTAGGAGAGGGAGTTACATACGTAAATTTTGCCGTAACTTGCGAATCTCCAGCTTATAAAAGGTCAGCTTGGGAAAAGGGCAAAGGATCCGGATTTTTGAAGTTCTATAGGCAAAAAGAGAACCTTAGAGAAAGAGAGTGACGAAGGACAACCCTGGGCAAGAATTGGAGCCATCTGAAGACCTCGGAGCTCGATTCCTCATCCTTGGAGTACCAATTAGCCGCCAGGAACAGATTTTCATTGTCCACATGATGATTTCTCCTCCTAGCATGATATTTCCACTTCTCTCCATTGAGTAAACTTCCCTTTATTATGGGTATGAAGAACTTAGTTTTGTATGTTAGGAATGGTTGTATGAACCCCGTTTGTGAATGATTGATTTGATATGTTCAATTGAGGCATTAATCAGAACCGCATGATTCTTGATCAAAGCTGTGTTATTCCTGCTTTAACCTAGAACGATAGTCTCTGCATATGTTAAAAGAGCAACCTTAAATTGGAAGTGGTAAATCGAATACTTTAGTCGAGAAGTCGATTCACTGCTATGTATTGGAATTCATGCTAGTAGAGGAAGTTTGGTGTATTAGTGCCTTGGTAGTTTATGCCGGTGGAGGTTAGTCGCCCGCCGGGTATTCGAACCAAGAAGGTCTGGTCTTCTTTAGTCTAGATTCCAGACTTGTCAAGAACTTTCCGCAGTGTATCTTTCTATCTGAACAAATTGGGAATATAATCTGAACTAGCTGCATACTAGGGGGGAAACATATCTGGACGACCTTTAACATACTTGGAAAACCGGAACATTTCTTGCGTTTTGTTTATTTTGCAATTGAACCACTCACTACACTTAGTTTGCTAGATAATAGAAGTTTACGGAGTAGGCAGTAGATCTAGACCCTGGGTTGATAAATTAAACTGAACCACTATTCTACATTTCCATCGTACGATTACACTTGGTCGTAGTTTGGTGTAGTGTCATAGCGAGTCAATGCTCTAATATATACTACATCCAAACGATTAGCAGAGGTTAGTAGCTAACACATAATTTTTTAGTATGGTGCTAGTATTAATTTTAGTAAATAATAACATTTCATTTTAATGACTTTACTTTAATGGTGTCGACTACAATTAATGTGGATTTATTAAGGGATCGACATGCTTATCATTATAAAAAAATTGGGAGGCACACGTGTGTGGTGGTGGTAATTAATTTCACCTCATCAGAAGTATCATAAAATATACCATAGAACACAAACCAAAAACACAACACATCACAAATACTAAAAAGTATACCAGAAAACTTATAAAGCATATTACAACCTTACCACACCTCAAAATGCATAAAGCATGACAGAAAACTCGATGCATATCACAAGTTCTATGAAGCAAACTAACAAATATAATTTTTATCAAGATTTTTAGGACTTATATGAAAAAAATAATTAATTTTAGGTATTAATTTTTAACAATATTAAGTTTAGATATCAAACTTTAATTTGGTACGAAGTCCAAATCTATAGGAGAGTATGAAAAAGAGGAAAGGAAATTGTTTTTAGAAATAGTTACTTTTATAACTTGTTGCTCATCCAGTCACCCATAAGTGTTCTTAGTGACCATTCTTAACATTTATTTTCGGAGTCATCATCTCCGATCTACTTCGGACAAGCTTATATCACCTCCCCATTTTTATAATTGATATATAAAGCTCAAGTTGTGTTACTATTGCCTAACTTTCCTTAACAACCTACTAATTAATTATTGGTCCACTAATCCTTACACAGCAACTAACTAATGGGCTTCATTTGTATTTGTGGCTTTGAGTATATTGTTCCACTAATCCCTACACAGCAGCTAACTAATGGGCTTCATTTTGTATTTCTGGGCTTTGAGTAACAACCATTTATTTTATGAGCTTTGGTTTTAGGCCAGGCAACATCAACAATTACCATTCGCCTTCCATTCTCTCCTCGGAATTTCAATCTACTTTCTGCCTCTCTCTCTCTGTTTGTGGAGTTTTGCTTCTCCTTTCAGTGGGATTTCCACCTCTTTCTTAATGAACAACAACAACAATGCAATGGTTAACTAGCCCGCGGCAAAGTGCGGTACGAGCCTAGTAGTATGTGATAATTGATAACTCTTCTAGTACTATTAGATATTAGATACGATCATCGTAAGTACTAGATCTTTTACATAAAACATATATATATATATATATATATATAAAAAGTGTCTATGATTGCATGTAACGAGATGTCCTCATGTCCATAACACATTAGGTCGCGCAGACCATATATACCGATTCTTCAAGTTCAACAGCTTTCAAACCGATACCTCACCGTAAGCTGGCCTTCAACATCTGCACCACCATCCACATCCAGTCGATTGAAACTATGGAGGTCGAGTTCCAGCCCATGATCGTTACGTTCGTGAACAATACGCACCTTCACTTCGCGTCGTCCTAGAATACTCGCCACCTTCAAACACATGGACAAACATATATATATATATATATATATATATATATATATATATATATATATATATATATATATATATATATAGCATTTTTTTAACTGTCTAAATGTACGTATATATGTTAACATAATATAGAATAAACGTAATACCTTCAAGCAGCGGCCGCAGTTATTAGTAACGTTAAAATTATGTCCAAACAATCCAGCACCAAAAGCAGCACGTGGATAATCCTCGTCGTGGGAAGCTCCACATGAAAACATCGACGACGACGACGAAGAGGAAGGGTTGTCACCAACAGCAACGTGATGATCATGTTAGAGTTAGTCAATAGAGTTGTAATACGACATTGATAGGAGAAGTAAAGTATAAAGATGGAGTCTTTTAGCAGTTTAATTAATTAATTAAACGTTTGAATTTTGTGAAAAGAAGTGTCTTTCCATAAAGATAACTCCCTTTTTCTGTGAAAGGATGTGTCCTTTCGGGAAAGGTAACTACCTTTTATGTGAAAGGATGTGTCTCTTCGGAAGGTAACTTCCAATTTCACTACTATAAATAGATGGCTGCCATAACTCTTTTGATAACGAGAGATTACTTCTTCTTCCGGTTTTCCTTCTCTATTTCGCAAACACAGAAGTCTGCAAGATTGCTGCTTCCAGACTTAAAATTGAAGGGACTCCTGGGGGTGGTTTGCTCGAGCCTACCAGCAATTTGTAGTGAGGGCAAATAACACTCTAAGGAGAGTGATTAATCACGCCTTCAATCCGATTCTCTCCATACCAGTTTCCTGACAATCTTAGAGTGTTATTTTCTTGAAAAATGGATTCTGGAGTGGAGAGTAAATTGAAGGCTTATGCTATTCACAAATGGATTTCGAATCATAGATTCGTGCGTGTGGTATTCAATATCATATCAGTTATTATCATTGTCCTTTACTATGGTTGGTTCCGAAGAGGAGAAGAGGAAATGTGGCACTCGAGTCTCGACGGTCATTGGAAAAGGTAAGACTCTTGCCCCTGTTTCTTTTGTTACCATTCGTAATTGGTCAATTTAATTACCATCCAAATGTTTCTGGAAAGCAACTGTCATCATGCAATGCAATTTGTGCCTTTCATGCATGGATAAAGTGCTTTAATTTTATCGTGTGTTTCTGTGGGGGAATGAAAATATATATATAGTTGTTGTCTCTCATTTTAAGGTTTATACTCGGATTTGGTTCTCCAAATGAAATATATGAGTATAACAATTTAATTGTATGATTACGTTCATACATGTTACTGTCAAGAGTTGATAAAGCAAACTAAATATTATATATAAAGGTTGGCAGGTTGCTGTATATACATATATTTCTTCTGTTTCTACGATTGAAGCAAAGAAAAAGAGAATGGCATGATTAATTAACCAAGGCAATGTAACGTGTGATGATGGTATATTAAGCCTTGTTAATTAGTTCAATGTTTGAATGCAACGTTGGCTTTTGAATCATTGTGCATGGTAATTGGTGTTTCCGTGTTTACGATGTAACATGGTTTGGCACAGATGAAGATTGATTGAGAATCAATTTGGTGATCGGATAACCGCTTTGGTTTGGTTAAGTGATATCAAATACTTTTGTAGTATACTAGTATTTGAGATGAGTACAAACTCATAATTCATATTATGATAAGAGTTTAGAGAAATTCAAATATGTTTGAATTTGGAGGAATTCACGTTGAATTTTTTAAACAAATTTTGTCACCAAAATTTGTATGAGTTTCAATTACGGTGCTTGCAAGATACTACAATTTGGTTTATGTAACAAAATTGTTTAATTTGTGATCTTGAAGTAAATTGAAATAATGGTGAAAAGCGTTCCCCCGACATGGTAATTTGTTTATTATGTATTGGTTTATGATGTCATGTTTCATATGCCATGAGAGCAAGGAAAATGAAACTAAGATGGATTCTTATAGGGATTGAATAAGCTTGCCAAAGAATGATAATCATCAAAATAGTCATCGTCAGAATTGTTTATGGTATATATACACTATACCATTGGAAAACAACTTGACGTGTGATTATGAATGTGAAGCTATTTGTCAGAATTGTTTATGGTATATATAAACATGTACCATTGGCAAACAATTTGGCATGAGAGCTAATTGCGACGAGTTTATTGAACTTGAAGTCTGAATTACTTATGGTATATGTGTGAATTTATACCATTGGCAAGTAATTAGACGATTAACTTAGAATATTCATTTGAATTGCTTGTGGTATGCCAAGTTACCTTCATGAAATGTCATTGGTAAGTAATTAGATGATATTTCCAATCCAATATGGAAATGCAACTGAATTACTTATGGCAACTCAAATTGCCTTGACTAATACCATTGGTAAGTAATTAGATGATATTTCTAATAAAATCTGAATTGTTTGTGGTATGCTAATATAATTAGTTCATATCATTGGTAAGCAATTAGATCAATGTAGTGGTTGAAAGTTCAATAAGTAATACCATGGAAAATAAAATGGAATTATTCCATGATAGTTCGGCAAGTGGGAGAATTGTGGGGGAGATGGTTTTGATGCTAGTTGGATAGCAAGTTCTAGTGATAAGAAATCTATAACTGGTGGATTTTACACTAGGTGATGAAGTTGTTTCTTGAGTTTTGAAGAAACAAAAGTGTGTTGCACACTCCACTATGGAAGATGAATTTCTAGCCCTTCCGGCGGCTGAAAAAGAGGCAGATGGCTAAGTGTGTTAGATAAAGAGTTGTGGCCACAACCGATGTTAGCCATTTCTGTCTGTTGTAATAGTGAGGCTACTTTGTCTAAAGCTTATAGCAAGATTTACAATGGTAAGTCTAGACATAATAGCCTAAGACATGGTTATGTTAGATATTTGATTATTAATGTAATCATTTCTATTGTGTATGTAAGATCAAGCAATAATTTGGCAGATCCTCATGCCAAGGGATTGCCAAGAGGCGTGATTCTATGAGACATCCCAAGGTTAGGGATTGAGACCTCTTGTGTAGTTAGAAGTAATGGGAACCCAACCTTTTCTTTAGGTATTCACTAATTAAAAGGTTCAATGTGGTAATAACAAGTTACTCTAACTGAGGTACTATTTTATTGTACAAGTAAATTAGTCCAAAGAAGGGTGAGTTATAGAACTCTTAATGAATTCATTGGGAATATCACCTATGTGAGCATTAAGAGTGGTGCCGCTCTAACAAAAGTAGAGGTCAACTTTTGTCTATGCTCATGAAACAGGATTAGCACATGGCCATAATAGTGCTACCCTAGTTGGTGGTTGTGGTTTAGAGAAGAGACAAGTACGTGTGTGGCATCTCCGGTTATAGCTTTGGATCGTGACTCCTAGGCTTAAGCCCGTCACTGATTCGTTATCAACTTTGAGTTGCTTACACTAGGTAAAGGTTCAAATCGAAAAGATACCTTTATGTATGCGTTACTTGTTCGAGGCAGGTATTCTCAACTCTTGTTGACTAAGTGGGGGATTGTTAGAGTTAGTCAATAGAGTTGTAATACGACATTGATGGGAGAAGTAAAGTATAAAGATGGAGTCTTTTAGCAGTTTAATTAATTAATTAAACGTTTGAATTTTGTGAAAAGAAGTGTCTTTCCATAAAGGTAACTCCCTTTTTCTGTGAAAGGATGTGTCCTTTCGGGAAAGGTAACTACCTTTTATGTGAAAGGATGTGTCTCTTCGGAAGGTAACTTCCAGTTTCACTACTATAAATAGATGGCTGCCATAACTCTTTTGATAACGAGAGATTACTTCTTCTTCCGGTTTTCCTTCTCTATTTCGCAAACACAGAAGTCTGCAAGATTGCTGCTTCCAGACTTAAAATTGAAGGGACTCCTGGGGGTGGTTTGCTCGAGCCTACCAGCAATTTGTAGTGGGGGCAAATAACACTCTAAGGAGAGTGATTAATCACGCCTTCAATCCGATTCTCTCCATACCAGTTTCCTGACAGATCATCGTCCAAGTTGTGGTTATGCGTGGCGTTAACAATACCGGCGGTGAGAACTCCTCCTCCTCCTTCTCCTCGTCGCGGCTTGGAGGGTTGAGATGTGAATTCTTCTTCATCGGTGGTTTGAGGTGGAGGCGGAGAGGGGTATTGGTAGCAGGAACCTGTCTGACAGTAGGCAAAGCTGGGGTCACCGCAGTAGCAAAAATAGCTGCAACAGCGGCCCGGGTCGCAATAAGCCCGGTTCCCGTTGCTTAATGCGCCGCACCACCGGTCCGGCCGCTCGTCGCACAAGGCGCGAGAAACCAGGCCTGCGGCGGCCAATATAATAACTAGGAAGTTTATTTTTGTAGCCATCGTCAGATAATTAATGTGCATGGCTCATGTATAGCGTCTGTTCTGTTTATATAGAATGAAGAACACAGAACACAAATTAGACCTAGCTACTGATTAAACCTTATGGTGGAATGAAGTCGGCGAGATTCCTTTCAAGAGCTGAGAGATTGAGGTGGAAAGTTAAGTAACGTACACGTTTGGAGTACGCAGGATGGTAATGGGATCTTGAATCGGCAATATTCCATAGAAAATTAGGCGAATCAGGGAGCCGGATTCTGTTTTTTTTTTTTTTTTTTTTTATAATGGTGAGAGAGATAATATTAAAAACTGAAACCAAACCAACAAAAGTTCAAGGCGCACAAGACGTACAGCCAATACTCCAGAACAGATTGAGAGCAAATCAAAAGAAGAGAAACCCCGAAAAAAACAACAGGAACCCAGAAAAAACAACAAAAAATCACCCGACAATAGATAGGAGTCAAAGTACACAACCCCGTCTAGGCTGACCAAACAGCCCCTGACCCAAAACCCCAAAACCAGCGGCAAAGGAAGCCAACAACAACCACCAGAACTCCCTACAAACCCTCGCAAACAGGAGGGGAAGCAAACCGCAGCAACCAAACAGCAGCAGCCAAACACCTACAATCAAACACGAACGGCAACAACTCCGAGAGCAGGGCTCAAAGAAACACACAAAAAGCTAAAAGCTCTGAAAGTTGTTGTTCCTCAACCAATCTTTTCCCTGTTCTTTGCTGGCTTTACCGAACGCAACAACACTCTCAACAATCTAGCTGATGGACTTCTGGAAAACAGCGGCTGCCCCTTGACTCTGATCTCTGAACGTACGCTGATTCCTTTCGATCCAAACCTGCCAACAGATCATGTGAAGGGCCCCGTAGACAATCAAATCGTTGAGGTTATCTGGATAGTCGCAGCTCCATCTTCTAATTGTGTTAAGGATGTCCCCCGAGGGAATCGAAAGGTTGCTGCAGACCCTTCTAGCAGCCTCCCAGACTTCTTTGGTGAAGATACAATCAATGAACAGATGGTTAATTGTTTCCTCAGCCTTTAAACACAGACAACACCGGTTAGCAAGCTCCCATCCTCTCCTCTGCAGGTTATCAAGAGTGAGGATTTTCATATGGGCAACCGTCCACATGAACGCACGGATCTTGTGAGGTACAAAGTTCCTCCAAATAGAGTCATCCGGGAACTGCTCCACGCCAGGGAACCTGCTGCTAATGAGGTGCCTGTACAAAAGTCGAACAGAAAAAGACAACTCTGGTTTTTGGGACCAGACCACCCTACTCAGGCCACTAAGAACTTGATCAGTAACGGCTGAATTAATGACATTAAAGAACTCTAACCTCTCTCTCTCAGCCCCCCCTCTCAAATTAATATTGAAGTTTAAATTCCACAAAGTACCCGTACCTGTGCTGTTGGCGAGGTCAGAAACCCAGGCTTCCAGTTGGGTGGCAGCAGCGGCAACTCTAGGAAAAGCATCCACTAAGATCATATTAGGGACCCAACAATCTTTCCAAAAAGAAACCCAAGCATCGCTGCCCGGATCGACATGGCAGACCTTCCAAAAGGATTCGTATTCTTTTGTAATATTAGCCCAAACCGAACCTCCGTACCCACCCCTACACCTTCTGCTTTGCCATTCTGATTCAGACGGATATTTCGTCGAAATCAACTTCCTCCACCAACTGTTTCTGTCATTAGCAAACTTCCAGAGCCATTTACCTAGCATAGCCTTGTTAAAACAGTGGAGGTCTTTCACTCCCAACCCCCCATTCTCCTTCGGAGCCTTGCACAAATCCCATTTAACCAGCGGAATCCTCCGATCTTCACTAGCCCCGCACCAAAGGAATCTCCTCTGGATTCTTTCCAACCTATTAATAGTTCCTTTAGGAGCCCGAAAAAGAGAGAAGTAGTAAACAGGTTGGCTGGTAAGAACAGCGTTATTAAGGACCAATCGCCCTCCCAGAGAAAGGTAGCGACCTTTCCAGCCTGCAAGTCTCCTCTCAAACTTCTCAATAATTGGCTCCCAGATTGCAGAAGAATTGACCTTGGCCCCTAACGGGAATCCCAGGTACTTCGAAACCTCCCTGCTCCAATTACAACCGAAGAGAGTAGCAAAGTAGTCCGGGTTAATCTTCAGGCCAATGATAGCTTGAAAACATACCAAAGCAGCTAGAATATACAAGACTTGATCGTACGAAGCCTCACAAAAAATTAGCGTATCATCCGCAAACAGCAGATGAGTAACTTCTCCTTCCCCATTCGACTCATTCATACAAAAGCCCCTGATTTTACCCTCCTCCTTCAGTTTGTTCAACAAGAAAGAGAGCAGCTCCATTATCATAGTGAACAGACCTGGAGATAGCGGATCGCCTTGGCGGAGACCCTTACTAGTCTTGAAAAACCCCTTAGCCTCACCATTGATAATCGTCGATATCATCGGGGAGCACATGGTTCCGCGAATCTAGTCACACCATTTCTTAGGGAACCCCAAAGAATCCATCACTTTGAAAAGACAGCCCCAGCTCACATTGTCAAAAGCACGTTCAATGTCGAGTTTAAACATTAGGCCGGGTTTTCTGCTATTCGTTCTGCTTTCTAGAAGCTCAAAAGCAATTAGCCCAGCCTCCGATATTTGCCTACCGCGAACAGAGGCATGCTGAGACGGAGAAATAAGCTTATGAAGAACTGTACTGTGTCGACGAGCAAGGATTTTACTGATAAGTTTATTCAGACTCCCCATTAAACTGATTGGCCTCAGATCTTTGATATCTTCCACAGCGTCGCGTTTGGGCACAAGGCATAAAAAAGAATGTGTATGGAGTGCAAAATCTGTGACAAGGATAGCAAACAAACAAAAAAGCAAAAAAAAAAAAACAATTGGTCGAATTTCATTAGGAATTAAGGGTTCGAGAGCGGATTAGGTGATTAACCTTATAGAGAGTAACCATGAGTAATCCGTCCACATCAGCATCCCTCTCTCATGTAAAGCCTTTTATCTTTTTCTCTTTAATTTTTAACCGACGATTTTTCTCATTTTAAGTCGGAATTTATTTTTTTTTGCACAGATAAATCATATTAATTGTGCTCTTTAAAATGATATCCACTTTGATATATATGTTTAGAACAAATAAAATTGAGTCATTATTTACCAGTTAGTACCATATGGTATGCTCCTATTTAATACCATATGGTAAGAAAGCGTACCATCTATGATGGTATGAACATACCAATACAGTAGTAAGGTGGAATACATGATAGTAGGAGTATACTAACTGTCATTTACGACTTTCATCATTGTTTACCACAAGTTACCACCCACATACCAGAGTGGTAAAGTATGGTAATTTTTGGTCATGTATTTTTTTCACCCAGAAATTTATAGATCCAATAGATCATGATGAACTCGTTCCTTCTGTGCAAACGTTTTAAAAAACGACTTAAAAACAAAGAAGTTACCATATGGTATGTAGTTGGTAACGGGAGGTATGAAAAAAAGTTTCTCGAAATATATTGAAAATGGATATCATTTTGTAGAGCACAACGAACTTGTTCCATCTGTGCAAAATAAAAATTGAAATCCAAGTTAGAACGAAGAAGATAAGAGTTGATTAAGAAAGCTAGGGAAAATAAAATGCCATGAATTTATAACCCTTACATCTGAATTTTCTGGGCCCACTTAGATCTAAAGGTCCATATTTAGTTACTCATAGGTCAGTAACCAATGGTTACTGACCGCATCCCAAACCGGCACACGAGGCGACGAGGTTTATTTTTTTGACGAAACCTAATTTCATTACGAAATAGGAATGTGATACAGAGTTCAGACCGAAATCCAGAAAAGATTGTAGGCTAGTCTAAGAGAACATGGAGCCACCAAACGCAACAGGCCCAACAAGTCAAAAGATGCTAGAAAGAAAGAAACCCCACCAAACCAAACGAAAAGAAAAGAAACCCAAGCCCAATCCAAAGAAAACAACATTGAGATCAACCCACACAATAACCCTAAGTCCACAGAAAAACCCAATGTCACCACAACATACATCATGTCTCCGTCCACCACTGTAACTCCCACAGAAACCACCGGCACCAGATCCAAACACAACGCAACAAAAAAAAAAACGGAGAATAGACCTCACCGGCACATCCCAAGAAGCGTCGCTGACACTACAGAACACCACCAACCGCCACCACCGACAACCACCATCAGACGCCACCAGAAGAGAAAGACCATACGCAAGAACAAAGGCGAACACCACCAAGAACAAAAGAACCAACCTCCTCATCAACACCACCAAAACCAGACCACAGCACACACCCAGCCTAACTGCCTTCAACACAACCCGAACAAAATCAAAGCCGCACAAATCAAGTAAAAAACCCAGAGCAACAAGCCCTCACAGAAAAGCCAAATCCCTACATCCAACTAGTTAATAGAAGAGCACAAGCATCAAGCCAAATCAAGCGAATCACCGCGCCATTTTGGGCGAAGCAAGGAGGAGAGCTCTATAAGTCAAAAGGAAAGTTGTAAATAGCAAAATCAATTCCCTCTGCACACCGAAACTGAACTCAAGATCTAACTACAGATATGAGTTGTGGAAGAGGAACCATCTCCAAGGAGAAGTTCATGACAAAATCCACTTAGGGAGAGGAGAAACCCACAAGAGGATGGAAAAGAC